CAGTCTGTGACTATGTGAAAACTTTCTGGTAAAAATGGAGATATTGATGTGGGATGTGTCGTCTTCTGTATTATACCATTTGCGGCTCTCACACGCAACCAATCTGTGTAAATGAGGTCTCTGAAGAAAGAGAATTCCAAGGAGACGTGACGAATTTCACTTAGTATTTAAACATTTAAGGATTTGTTTAAAAAACGCATCTAAATATTCACGTTAAATGCAACCCGCAGCACTGTCAGCTAAATCCTTAACTCCCAAAAGAAGTGTTCTAAGGACTTAAAAACTAAAAAGGAGAGAGAAACGTTCCTCACACAGTAATCTACAGGATAAGACACACTTGGACACTCTATTGAACTTTCGCTGGTTCGGTACTTATCGATACTGCCAATACTACCTATATTTCAACCTTTGGTGAAGGTGGCCGCCTTAGTGACGTCACGCTTAGATGCCTTCGCTTGAACTATTTCCGCTTTCTGTGCATACCGTGGATTGCGCAGACTGACGAGGTTTGTTTGCATTGTTATTCATTCAAGATTCGCTCTCGCAGCAACATCTAGAAGTACTATTAATTGTTGCTTGATACCGATGAAGATTGTTTCTTATGTGTGTCGTGAAAACATTCAAGTTTTGTCGAGGTCTACAAGGGCTGTGTACCTAATCGTGTAGGGATGTGGGTGTACAGTGAAGAGTGAAGAAGTGTCTTTTTAGGTTTGGTTTGTGTTTTACCCGTACCACTATTTTCATTATCAGCGGTGATTTGGTGAAACTTTTTAGTCAGCATGTTCAGTCACGTAGCTTACTCAACGTAAAACTTTTTTAATAGTTTTGTGACTATCACGAATAGCTGTCATAGAATATTGAATAATTACTTCAAATATTTTCAAGGAAGTGTTGTAAATTGTTCCAAGATAATATTGAATAAAACTTTATTGAAAATTCCTTTCCCACATCAATTGCATTGTTTTATTTTTATTTGACATTGTGTTAGTACATTGGAAGTTACCTTTATACATTTTTATACAAATAAGTATGTTTTGTTAACAACTTTCACTCTTAAAATAGAAGGATAAGGAAGAGTGTGGTGTTTAGCACCTGAGAGTCGCACGGATATACTGAGGTAGTAGGGGGAAACGCGTGCTATTGCACAACTCAATGAACAAACTTTTTAAATTAACTAAAGTAAAATAGCTTGAAAGAAATGAGCAAGGAAAAGCAAAACACGCTAGCCCACAACACTACTACGTGAATGGATTTAGAAAGCAACCAAACGTAAAATTATATAAACAATAGCGCAAGTCACTCGACAACTGACAATGATCACAACCCAGACGCACGATTTAAATATTGGCGGTATAAGGAAGTATGTACATCAATACCCAGTTGTAAAATCATATTGTAAATTAAACACCGTTCGATATTTAACTTAAGGTGTCGGTTCGCTAAGAAATTTAAAACGTAAACATCGTTTGAGCGACATCACCATGCGTCTAAGCTTAATAAATTGTTTCTAATGGTTATAAGAAATGGGTCAAAATGGAAATTGCTCAAAGGTGAAAATATTAGTTATATTATCTTTTGGCGCGGAATTGCTTACCTTGAGGTACGTAAGAATGCAGAAAATAATCCAAGCAAGCTGGCGTCCAAAACCCCCTTTGTTATTTTTTTTTAAATGTTAATTTAAGTACATTTGATACATGCATGCACAGAGCATAATATAAGCATACTTCTCCACACTGAGGTCTCTTAAAATGTACCTACCTTGGATATTGACTGCTATACATACATTTATTAGAACTGCAATTGGGTATGACCCGGTGGCAGTTAATGGCAATAATTGCAAAAATTACAACACTTTACATTAAATAATAATGATAATCATAAACAATAAATAATAATAATAATAATAATAAATAATAATAATAATAAGACCGTACAATACAGTACAAAGACCGAAAAAAGGCAGCATTGAAAGAGCATTGATCACGTTCACCGCACTCACTTCAACTACAGTTTTTTTTTTTGCCTTTGGATACTGTTGAATTACACACGACCAGCACTTACAGCACTTCACCGCACACACAGAGCACATACTTATTTAATATTATTTGTTCTAATTTGTTTCTAAAAACTTCGACACTGAGAGGAAAACTTTGTGAAAACTTGCTGCAGGTTAAACTGTTCCAATCTCTAATTTTCTGTTACACAAAGGATAAACTTCCCAGATCTGAATTTTGTTCCTTGCGTCGAATTTTGTGGTGTGTGATCGCTTCGGCCGAAGATAATTTTGTTTTTCTACTCTAATTCTGAATTTCCTTCCAAGCTGGTTGACCTACGTACGATTTATAAAGAGCGCAAAGCCTCGCCTCTTGTTCCTCATAACTAATCCAGGAAAGTTACATAATAATAAAAGAGTAGAGTTGTACTTCTCCGATCGTGTATTTCGCATGGAAAACATTACTTGGCTTTCTCGAGAGTAAAAAACTTTTCTAATCTTTTTGTGACTATCAAGGGAAATTGTTTCCAAAATCAATTGCATTATTTTTTATTTGATATTAGGTAAGTACAAAGTTACATTTATAGTTTTTTAAACAAATAAATATGTTGCATTAACAAGTTTCCTTTTTAATGGAAACGACAGGGAAATGCCTGGGATTAACATGCGAAAGTTCTCGCACGGACTCGCTAGTGTTACTATATTTTGAATTTCCTCTGTTCATTGGGAAAAGGGCTGAGCCGCACACTTTCTTCAAAGGCAAATCTGGACGTGCACTCCCTTTCACCCAATACGATTGAGTACTGGATAAATCCCTCAATATATCCACTACTATTAATTTATTATTAATCACTTATGTAATTAATCTCGAATTTTCTCAGTATCCTCTACGAGTATATAAAAGAAACTAGTACTGGATTTATCTCTTTTCCAATCATTATAATTTTTAGGTGTCAATAGAATACGCAGAGGCGCCATGAAACAAAAAGCAGGGACAGTTGAGCCATGGGGGCACCTTAAAAAAATTCCCCAATTCATTGCCATAATTCATTTCACCATGTATCGGAAATAACTTGTGTGTTACACGATACAGCCGAATTAAGTGGAAAGTGCCACCAAACCAAATCGGAAATAGGGATACTCATCTGAAAGTACAACACAGTAGATTTAAAAAAAAACATAATAATAAATTTTAAAAAAATTGCCTACTACAGGGCAATCTGTTGCAGAGATAAAATGAGAAACGTTTTATCGCGGTTCAAATTTCTCTGTTTATGTTACAAGGATGTCTGAAAAAAATTGCAGACACGGGGGGAAAATAATAGTATGAAAATATATTTTTGTCAATTGATATTGGTGTCAAATTCAAAAAGAAAAAAAATTACAATTTCTTTGAAATTGACTTCCTACTTTCAGGAAAACGCTCAGCATACAAAATGAAAGCAGCTTCAAAATTTCTCTTGAACATTTACGAAATCCTTGATGTTGACTAGCACTCGAGATGCTGCCGGCAACCGTCTTAAGTGGAGAAGAGTTGAGTGCCGCTTCGCGTTGGCCGCGCCGCACGCGCAGCCTCCCATCCGAGAGCGCCGCCAATGCAAATAATCGAAATACCGACATCGATTTTAGGCCACACTTATATACATTTTAGTGTAGAATCCGAACCTGCAAGAAACAGTGGGGGTTCCCATTTAAGATTTCAAAGTTAGCTCCCGTCTTACCCTCACGCGGCGAGCGGGGAAGTTCGATTTTAGGTTTGACAGATGTCCCCCTTTGGGATATTAATTTTTTGCCTTTGATAGTTTTTTGTACGTTGCACATTTTTCGAGTATTTTGATTTGTCAAGTTGAATGGGCTATCCTGCATATACAGTATGTATGTGTGTGTGTGTGTGTGTGTGTGTGTGTGTGTGTGTGTGTGTGCAACTAGCACTCCGTTGCTTGTGGTTTCTACATCATCAATACTCAATGACACAAGTTCGTCTCCTCGACATATCCTCAAAATACCAATAATTGCAATAATTTCTTAAGTAACAATTTGCTTCCCGGAATACTTTTCTCATATGTTCTTACGATAATATCTTGGCCTTCTAGAGAGCAACTGTCGCGTCCGAAGGAAGAATCGTAAAGATTTGAAATGGAAGACAGCGCTGCTCTCCTTCTTATTAAACAGAAAGATGTTTACGTTTTACTTTAAGACATTACGAAAAATATTGAACGACGCGCGGCCGATATCACAAGTAACAGACTAGCTTGGTTATAAACGTCCACTATCTCCTCGGTTTACTAACTTCAACCGCGGCTGTTAATTGGTGTTTATGGGCCTAGTGACGTTCATAACTATTTCCACAGTGTACGCGCCCATGTTCCTACATAAGTCTTCTTTTATACACTGAAGCTCTTTTCACAGATGGAACACAGAAATGTTTGTTACCGGTATGCGTGCGGATGTGTCGTTTTAAATTTCCTTTTTCTCTGAAGCTCTTTTCACATACAAAACACTGAAAAGGTTTATTCCCAGTGTGGATGCGCATGTGGATATCTAAATTTCTCTTTCGACTGAAGCTCTTTTCACAAATAGAACACTGAAAACGTTTTCCTCCAGTGTGAGTGAGTATGTGGCCTTCTAAGTTTTTTTTTCGACTGAAGCTCTTTTCACAGATGGAACACTGAAAAGGTTTATCTCCAGTGTGAGTACGCTTGTGGATATCTAAGTGTCCTTTCTGACTGAAAGATTTTTCACAAACGGAACACTGATAAGGTTTTTCTCTAGTGTGAGTTTGCATGTGCCTATCTAAGCTACTCTTCACACTGAAGCTCTTTTCACAGATGGCACACTGAAAAGGTTTATCACCAGTGTGGATGCGCATGTGGATTCCTAAGTTTCTCTTATCACTGAAGTTCTTTTTACAAATGGAACACTGAAAAGGTTTATCTCCGGTGTGCGAGCGCATGTGGATATCTAAGCTTCGTTTGTGACTGAAACACTTTTCACAGATGGAACACTGAAAAGGTTTATCTCCAGTGTGCGTGCGCATGTGTCCCTTTAATATTCCCTTTCGACTGAAACATTTTTCACAGACGGAACACTGAAAAGGTTTTTCTCCGGTGTGAATACGCTTGTGGGTATCTAAGTGTCCCTTTACACTGAAGCTCTTTTCACAGATGGTACACTGAAAAGGTTTATTACCAGTGTGGATGCGCATGTGCATATCTAAGCTTCCTTTCTGACTGAAACATTTTTCACAGACGGAACACTGAAAATGTTTATCTCCAGTGTGAGTACGCTTGTGGATATCTAAGTGTCCTTTCTGACTGAAACATTTTTCACAGACGAAACACTGAAAAGGTTTCTCTTCAGTGTGCGTGCGCATGTGCTCATGTAAATTCGGTTTTCGAGTGAATCTCTTCTCACAGACTGAATACTGAATAGTTTTTTGATCAGTGAGGTTGCGCATATCACTACGAAATTCTCGAACTGAAAAAAGAAAACACGTTAATTAGAATTATCGAGTGTTATGGCAAATGAGGCACTCAATTATCGACAAATGTAATTTTGACACCATATTGGAGAATAGATTTCTAATACAACATCTCCAATGAGTTTTGTAAAGATCTAATAAAACGTTTCTTTAAAACATCCACATTTAGCGAAATTCATGGTAGAAGATGGGCATAAACTTCAAGTGTCCTAGTGACGGTGGATTTTGTGCTAACATATTTAAGGCTAATACGACGCAAATCTGCTTCTGTGGCCAAAATTATTTAGTGACAAAGATATTGTGCGGAAAGATGCTATTATTCCTTAGCAATCGTGTTTGACCTCCGAATTTGCTCTCATACCACGGCATTGGCTTTCCATCATTGAGTTTAACAACCTTGTAATCGTAAGCTAAGATGTCGGCCTCATCCATATTCCCTTATCGAAAGTAAAACAATTCACATAGATGATCCGAAAAAACATTTGTTTATTTTTAAATTGCCTGGGGTTTGACGGGCATTTGTCGAAAATCGTTCAAATCAAAATAAAATCATTTACAAGACCACACATTTGTTATAATACATGCGAAGCAAATACTCCCCTGGAAATTCAAGACACTTTGGGAACAGAACCCTTGCGAGAAAAGGCTTTTCCTACCGTGTCTTGAAGCAAGTGGAGAGCTCACTCATTAGTGCAAAGAGAAATTCTGACACTTGCCCTCAAAAGCTTCAAAATAATCTGGCAAACTAAATTTGTACAACATTGACATTGTCTCGGCCATTCGTAGAAACATGAGTCCTGAAAAGCATGTTTCCAAAAATAAAATTAAAAAGCAGTAGTCCCCTCAACCGAATTTATCGAGACTTGGCCCTTTCGTTTGCTTAGATTTCTCGGATTAAGCAAAATATCATGCACATAAATACATACATTACTAGTTATTATACGTATTAACGAAAATAAAACACACCAACCTTCAAAATCGAAATGCAGGGATCTCCAACCTACGGCACTTCTAATAACATTGAAATCTTATGATATAGATTTCGAAATTTTAGTAATATTGAAGTGCATTGTTTTTCAGATGCCACGAGTCTCTTTGTCGTTCTAATTACGATAGCACCTTAAAGCAGGGGCACATTTGGCTTCCCAAACACGATATGCGCCATTGCAGGGAATACTTGGACGCCAATATCAAGTTCAGTGGCGGGAAGAAGATATTTCTCTTGCCCACGCGGACGATCCAAAGAATCCGACAGATCCGCAAACAGAAATTCAAAGTAGAATGTCGTTGACTTCGCCGACTTTTCAAAAATTGAAAAAAAAAAAAAAAAAAACTGCGAAATTGGAGAGAGATCCGACAAAATTTGTTGTACAAAATTAGCTATTTAAAAAGGTCTGATATACTTTTTGAAAAACGACTAAATTTTGCCTTGTTTGCGAATGAAATGTACGATTTTTTTTCAAAAACCGCTCCAAATTAGTTCTTTAAAATTTCTTCACGTATGTAATAAAAGATGATAAAAATATGGTGTTATCCATATTTTCGGGTATTGGAAATATATATATATATATATATATATATATATATATATATATATATATATATATATATATGTGTGTGTGTGTGTGTGTGTGTGTGTGTAAAGAAAATATATTTTCTTCAATTTGGATTTGCCGCGCTTCCCATGCTTAGGTTAGCATTTGCAACAAAACCACTTCGAGAACCTGCACTAACAATAATGAGTCGTTCTGCAGAACTACCCCACGAAGTCGCTCCTAAAATGTCATTCTCCTTTCGCCAGCACTTTCCTGTCGTAGTATTGTCTATCCACGATCCATCTAAATAAAAAATCTCCCATCCTCTCTAAGATGCTTCATTCTTACCAGGTATCGAGATCTCCAATCTACAATATCACCTCGTTCTGACAGTAACGAGTTTGTTCTGTACTTTTTTCCTAACGAATCCCATAGATTTCAAAATGGTTCGACGTGATGAAGGACCCAATTCCAATTGATTTTTTTTGTTTTAGCACTGGTAGAAGTTTCGTTATTTTAGGTACGACCTTCTGGGCAGTGTAAAAATCATTAATAGTGTCCCTAATTACTCTTATCGAAATCGTCCAACAGGATTTTCCCGCGTGTTCTTGTTTGACAACAAATAAAAAAGTTTCATGCACTTATCCTTCGCGGGGGAAAAAAAACACTAAATATTTCCAAATAAGAAGTGTCTTGTATTTCGTTTAATAAAAACGACCGTACCTCGTTGTGCCTGGAGTTTCAGGTGCCTGATCTAGGCGCGAAACCTTATTTTTTTGTATTCTCTTCACGGGTGCAATGCTTGCACTCTTGTAAATGGTCGCCCTCTTTAAGGCGTGGTTAAGAGGGACAATGAGCGTCTTGATTTCTTCCTCTCTTTGACAACATCCCACCACGTTGGCAATGGTTTTCCTGTCCCCACTATGAAGAGTGAGGATACGGCGAGATAGTGGCGTTCTCGGAATTACCTGAGGGTGCCCTGGAACTGCCTCTGCCTTAAACTTCACGTAACGTTGTGAAGATAACCGTGTTAAAATGCCCAATAAAGATTTCTACCAGATAAATAAGCCAAAGTCGTATAAAAGGAAGGAACAATAAATTAGTCAATCAAATAACAGTAAACCGTAATCGTTAAGACAAAAACGTAAAGTATGGGAACAATATGTAAGCAAAGCCCTGCGATTGCTTTGAAGGTGCGAGGTGGGCGGTGGTAGCCTGGTGGTAGCACTGTAAGTTGATGCGTGTCGTTCCGAGTCGGACCTAAGAGTTTCCGCCGTGTTTAAGTGTTTAAGCCGTGCTCTTCAGCGCTTGGCGCGAGTTAGGGAGCCCGTGTATCAAGAAAACTTGCGCGACCACTACACTTCCCACACAAAATGCCTCCATTCGCTGTTACTTTATATTAAGATTCGCGGTTTATCGCAAAACGAATAACATTTTCCTAAAAATATGGACTCATGATTTTACAAATGACCGACTCACTGGCATGAGATATCATTTATGAACTCCACGACTTCCTGATCAGTCACTTGATACTGTCGTTTCCGCACAGTAAAATAGATGGCCAGTACAGCTCAGATTACGAAATTAATTAAAATCGCATTTCCACTCACCTGGGGAACATGAAGCAGTTTCTGGTTTCATTGTTGCAACAGAAGCACCTTCACAACACGCCGCAAGAGGATCCTGCAGCAAGACATCGGAAAAGGACATCACAATGCGCTGAGACAAAGGCAGGAAGGGTATCTTTAAACTTGGTAAGTCCATTACCGTTTTGATTCACTGATGCTCTGGAAAACCCCTTTCACCTGGTTAACAAACAGCTGACACATAATCAGTGAGAAGTAGATATCTAACACAATTTTTACTTTCCTAGTCTTGTGGTAAAGAGATAGTTATGTAATGCAGAAATTGCTGAAGGAGACTCCTCCCTCCCGCTTCTCTAAGGGTGTACCGTGTACCCTACTTTAACATTATTATTATTATTATTATTATTATTATTATTATTATTATTATTATTATTATTATTATTATGTTAAGTAAGTAGTTCTCTCTTATAGTCCACTTCTCCCCCTAACTCGATATCATGTCCACCATGTTTTCTGAAGTTATCACTTGTTGAAACTTAACGTTACAAATCTCCCTTTGCACATCCCATGCCTTGCACTGGAACAGTGTATGCTCTGCATCGTCAATATCTTCGACATACGTCACATGTCGGATTTTCTTTAATCTTGTAATCATAAAGGTATTTACCAAAGCCACCGTGTGCCGTAAAAGACTGGGATACATAATAATTCACCTCCCCATCTCTCAATGTTATTAATTATCCGATGTGTCCATCTACCTTTAGCGACCACAATCCACGTTTGCCACTCTTCAAAAAGTAGTTTCCTAGCCTCACTCTTAATAGTCTCTATTTCCTTGGGAGGAAGATGCCTGTTTACTTGTCCAGCTTCCTGCAAGGCGGAGTACGTCCTTTTCCTTTCCATGGCTATCAGTTCGATGGGCGGGATACTGGCCAATACTAGTGCAGCGCAAGTAGACACCGTGCGGTAGCCAGCCGCCAACCTCAGGGCCATTCGTCTTTGCACTTGAGCACACTTATTTCTCAAAGCCTGTTTTCCCAATGAACTCGCCCAAACTGGTGCTGCATACAACAGTTGTGAATGAACTACTCCAGATATCATCCTTCTCTTGGCTTCTCGTGGTCCACCTACATTCGGAAGTATTCTTGCCTTTGCTGCCATCACACTTATCTGAGGTCTATCTCAACCCCTAGATATGTTATTTGGCACTTCTAGTTTATTCTCTCTTCTCCCAGTCAAATATCTGGAAAGCGAAAAGCACTCCGATCGGTTATTAACACAGCTTCAGTTTTTCCTACTGCTATCTGCCCTATACAGGAGCCATCTTTTAACTCTATAGAGTGCTTCATTCACTCTTAGTTCAATCACTTCAATATCACCACTACGACTTATTATTACTGTATCATCCGCGCATCCTATAATCTGCGTATTTCTTGGAAGGTTAATACTCAATATGCCATCATACAGCACATTCCATAAAAAGGGGCCAAGTCTGGAACTTTGTGGAACTCCGCACGTCATATTTTCTTCAATGTTGATGTTAGTCACATTTAGGTAATTTTTATAGGAATTGGTTATGCTAAGCAAGTGCTGTCCATCATAATTTTGACCCAATAAGAGAATGTATGTCTGTGTACAGGACTCCAAAGCTTATGAATTTTGCAAGCTTCTGGTCATTAAGGTATACGTACATTCAAGAACATCTGCACCGATGTTGAATAAAACAACATGCTGTTTAAATAGCATTAATATCATACTAACACAGCACATGCCTGGAAATAAAATTGATCTCAACAATATAATAAAAAATTAAATATCAATGAAAAATTGCTCACACACAAATGTGGTAGAAAAAAATACACTCATTGTAAACAAACTAAAACGTCAAATTTTGTCTTAGAAGTTGTTCATGTGGTGTATACAAACCAACCTATGCCAACATTGAGAACCCCTGGTTCAGAAGATTAAAGATCCTGGCTAAACAACATGCCATTCACTTCTACTGATGACAATTAATTGGGATAGTATTAATAATGAATAAACCAGAACATATATGTGGCAAGAATGTAATTTATTTAAAAATACATGAAACAAAATGTTAAATATACATTTCTAAAACGCAATTTTGATTCAAAATATTCAAGTAACTGATATTTGTTTAAATTATAAAAAAAATGTCCACTCAGTGAAAACTCGGATTAGAAGCTGAGTTCTTCAATGTCTGGATATCGCTGACTGAAAATCTGATATTTTAACTGTAGAAGAGCTTTCAGTATATTATTTATTAAGAGTTAGGTGACCAAATTTAATTTCAATGTTAATGAAGTAAAAGATTTAGACAAATTTTTAAAAAATATGAGAAAAGTTTTAAATATTTCTGAGAATAATAAAGGCACTTTTTTAAGAAGACCATAGAACTAACAACAAAAAGATCACTATTTGTAAATTCATTTAATTATTATTACTAATTATTAATCATACAATATTTTAATTTTGTAAACTATCAAATGTAGATAAACACTGAAGTTATATATTTACAAGTATTTCAACAAAATTTAAACAATAAGTTAGAAAAATAATATTTTTTTTTACTTCAAAAACTTTTATTGTTATTGTTATACATTAATAATACATACTGAGACTTCTATTATTCTTAATATACTTCAATAATTTGTTTACTACTGGTTTATTTAGATACAATTGAAGCTTTGTGTACAAACCTCAAAATAAGATTACTATTTTTTTGATTAGCTTCAGAAATGTTGAAAGAAATTATAGCAGTTCTTGGAATTAGTGCTACAGCACTGTACCAAGAGGGAATGAAAAAGAAAAACGCAGTTTGGGTAAAAAGTTACACAAAAATATGATCACATGCTGCTGTTCAGAAAATTAAAGGAGAACTCTCCTGATGACTTCAAGAATTATTTAAGGATGGACTCGACAGACTTTGATGAACTTTTAAATTTAGTGATGAGAGAAAGTATTTTTCCTGAAAAAAGGCTAATTGCTACTTAGCGATTCTTAGCTACAGGGTGTAGTCTGGAATCTCTGCTCCAGCACCAAGTGGAATCATTGCAGAGACATGCAAGGCACTGTACGATGTCCTAAGGATAGGATTCATGAAAGCGAGTCAGAAACACATTTATTACAGTTTTTTAAAGAACAATTTCCTAATTATGATCTAGAAACTTCTCAGACTAGTTTTAAACTTTTTTTTTTAAATTAAGAGTTAAAATCAGAACCCTTTTTGCTAATTTTCGTGAAGTTTTCCTCTTTCAGCCCTTTTTATAGCCTGCCTTCATTTTAAATAATAAAATGCTCACACTTGTTTTTAAATTAACAAAAAAGCCCATTACCTACTAATTAAACATTGGGTAAACAAAGAAGCTTTGAACATAGGATGCATTAAAAGAAGACAAGAATGGTATAAGTTTGTTATTTATTTGCTTAACTTCTTTACTAAATGTCACTACAATTCCATTGCCAAATATTTTAACTATAAAACTGCTTTATGAACATTAAATGTTCTCACAAATAATTATAAATGAATGATAATTGTAACACGAAAAAATATTTTATTTTTAATTTCATTTCAGTTACACCGCTTACTTAAATACCAACCAAATATAAAGTCTTATTAGCTGAGTGATATTAAACTTCCATACTTCTAGCCACAAATGTCTGTCTGTGATAATGAACACAAATAAGAAATTAATTACCTCTACTGTAAAAAAATCTAAATAATGGTAGGAGTATATTGAACAATTTAATAAATTATACTTCCATAATCATAATTATTGGCACCTTCCCCTCATTTTAAATGGACAATAAAATAGGAAACATTTGTGATGTAAAGACTATTAATATAATACAAATATCTGTAATGTTTTGTGTAAAATTAATGTATTATTTGCATTACTCTACATACCAGTTTCCAAAACATGAGGAAGACTGGGTTGAAATTGCCAATGGATTCCTTCATAGATGGTAGTTTCCTAACTACAGAGGAGCCGTGGATGGAAAACATTTGCGCATCACACCATTGGATCACTCAGGAGGCATTGAGATAATTTTATAGCATTGTGTTATTGGCGTTTGTGAACTCTCATTATGAGTTCATTTTTGTAGATGTGGGAAATAATGAAAGAATAGCAAATACAGGAGTGTTGGAAGACAAACTTTTAACAAGGCCTAAAAAATGTTAAGTTAAATCTTCCAGAGAAAAATTTAAACATCAACAATTTGAACTATGTTTTTCTGAGAGCTTTTACTCTTTACGAGGATATTTTAAAGCTGTTTGCTCAGAGGGACTTGGATTACAATAAAAGAATCTTCAATTACAGAGTATCCTATGGTAAAATTGTTGTTGAAAATGCATTTGGGATAATCTCGTAAAGATTCAGAATTTTGCATATGTGAATAAATTTGAAGGTACAAAATATAAGATTTGAGGTGTGGGCAATTTGCACACTGCATAAATATTTAAGAAAACATTGCAATGGTTACACTTCTAGCACGAGTACTGATAGAGGAGACGTTTCCAGTTGTACAATGCATTGGGGTGATTGGAAGAATAAGACTATTGCACTGACAGACTTGCATTGTGCAACATCATGAAACTCTAGTGCTACAGCTAAACATAATCATGATGCATACAAACAGTATTTTGTGCCGGATGGGAGAGTTGCATGGCAGGATAAAATGTTGAGGGCAGGTAAAGATTGATTTATGCATTTCAAGCTTTGTACACTTTAATGCAAATAAAGCACACTTGCCTCTAGAGGCTTGTATTTTTGTTTGTTTTTTTTCGTCCATGAGCGACATGCGTAGTACGTCCATATTGGATAAACTATCACTGTCCCTCCTGCTTGTTCGTGAACAAGAGTTTGTAGTACCACAAGCTAGGCTCATGAACTTCCAAGTCCACACCACCACATCTCCTGCTGTCCCTCCCCAGAGCGTTTCCTCGTGAAAGGTCCCTTGTAGGCTTTCAATTTTTTTGAGTTACAGAATCCTGAAGGTGGTGAAAAATTATTTTTGCAGAGATCTATCTTTCCTGTTCCTACCAGTTTTTAATGTTGATTTTTTTTAAAATCTAGCAATAGGACACCATTGCAAGACACTGGTATCCTTTAATGTTAAAGGCAAACCAATTATTTTATTGGCATCACTCTTAAAATAAAATTTTGCATCAATGTGGTCTCATCAGGCAGTTATAAGGAATTTTGCTTTGTAAAACTTAACACATGCAAAAGAAAAGCAAGTTTTAAAATTAGAATTACAAATTGCAATAAAACCTGCAGGATTACAATAAAATTAACTGGTTTATAAATATGTAAGTAAGAAACATAAGTTTTACCCGAGACAAAGGAAAAACCATTAAAAAATCACAAACTGGAATACATTCAAATCAAAAATTAATGTTAAGATTTAATACTGTTATAACAGCTTGATTACCCCACCTGACAAGGCAGCCACATGTCAAAAACATTCTTTTTTGAGTAGGTCGATGCCAATAAACAAACAATAAAATAACACAAATCACAATAAAATAATTGTTTTTAAAATAATACTTGGTTTCATTTGCTTCAGTATTCAAGGATATCACTGTCATATCAAAATATATTTTATAGACCTATCATTTAACTCTGAAAGGCTCTGTTCATTCCCGATGCATGCAAGGTAATTTATGTGGGAGAACATAAATTGGATACATGAAGATAAATTTGTAAGGAAGAAATACATGATAATATATTATAAAACTATATTTGTTTTATTTATTTAATTCAGTTTACAAAGCTGGTGACTTTGTCATATGTTTCCATCACAAAACTACCACTCTCAGCATTGCTTACTCTCTTGAGCAGAAAAATGGGAATTAGGTTCCCAGTTACCCAAGAGACCTTCCTTCAATACCTCATGTATGAAGGCTATGGCATAAATTGGTTGGTCTGGGTCCAATCTGTTTAATTTCTGGAACACATTTAGCCCTGCCCTATCAAATTCCCCAGTTTTAGTAAGGGTCTCTTGACACAGCCTCATCATCTTTAAAGATTCTTTGGCAACCGTTTGCTGCTTCCTCCTCTTCCTCACTGGGGTTTGAATTGGGCTGGGGTTTAAAATGGTTCTCAGCTGTGTTGATCTGTAAATAATATGTAATTGAATTTCCTCAGAAGTTGCAAGATGCAAATTAGATATTAAAAAGATATTATTCAAAAAATTAAATTATGATAGAAAAGCAAATTTAAAAAATCACCCTGCCATCATTTAGGTTAATAAGGTGCCAAATTTATAGCAATTTATAACACTGAATGAGAATGAAACTAGTTTCGGGCTATTACAACAAAAATAGAAGTTTATACAATATCTTTGCTTATTTGTTTATTAAACGGCATGCCAGTTGTGCTAAGAAATATTCGGACTGTAAAAACGTGAAATATTCATTAATATGCAAAACCAATGTTCTCACAATTTCATATACATTGAATATAAATTAAAATTGTAATTACAACTTTAAAAAGGGCATTTCTGTTATAGGGAAATGCCCTTTTTTTTTAGCAAAAAGGAATATGCCCTTATGCAAAAAGGAATATTTCTGTTATATTGCCTAGTGACATACCAATTATTGGTATGTTGCTTAGTCACATACCAATTTATATTCAATGTATATGAAATTGTGAGAACATTTGTTTTGTATATTAATGAATATGTCACAGTTTTACAGTCCAAATATTTCTTAGCACAACTGACATGACGTTTAATAAACAAATTAAGCAAAGATATTATATAAACTTATATTTTGATTGTAATAGCTCAAAACTAGTTTTTTATTCACATGTTGGTATATTTCATCTCATTACAAGTCTTTTTAATAAGTACCCAAATAGTTTTTAACAGACATATAATTTACTGTATTATAACAAAACATGACTTCTCAACTTACAAATTTATAATTGTAGTTTTAGGTGACGCAGAAAGAATGACAGAAGTGCCTGAACACATACAATTTTACCAAGCATTGAAAAATGGAAAATTATCTCTGCCAAGAAATAAGAACATAAAAGATTTGAATGTATTTCTTGAAACTGCTTTCTCACTTAATAAACCTATTTTAAAGCCATCTGCTCAGAAACATTTAGATTAAAATAAAATAATTTTTATTTACAGACTACTTATGCTCATGTATCACATTGTAGAGAAACTTTTAGAATATAATCAAGATATACAATTTTTCATTCAGCAAACAATTTAAATGAGGAAAAATATGTTATGTTGTGAAGCAAAGAGAGCTGTGCAAAATTCACCTTACAGAATGGCAGGACCAAATATCAAGGGCAGGAAAAGCCTAATATACTCCTTAACTTAAAAAGCGTTGTACTGTTTTAAAGCAAATAAAGTAAACTTGCCAGAGCATGCTGGCTCTCTTCAACCTCTTCCATTACGTCCTGGTTTGCTTGTTGGCTTCCTAACCATTCCAGGTCATCTCTGCACTTTCTGCAGATTCTTCTCGCTCCTTTGTAAAAAGGAGCAAGTCAAAATACCATAAATTTGGTGTATAAATTTCTTCTGTCGCAGCTCCACTTCTCCTGCGTTCCTTCACTTTCCTAAGTTCTTCGTGAACAGCCCCTCGCAGACTTTGGATTTGCTTTGAAACAAACTCCCAATCTGTTTCCGGTAAAATTATCTTACAAAAAGTTACTCATTTTTTAAATTTGTATTTGTGTACACAGAACATTTAAGCTCCCATAGGCTAGGGCACTCTCTACACATGGGAAGAAACTCCCTCACCTCCGGCTCCAGCAACGAGGATCGGCCATTTCAAAATACCGCCTGGCTCGTCACAAAGTCCACTCGCAACAAAACTCCATGTGCAAATGCAACCCACGCCTTTGCTCACAGCATTCGGGACAGCGCTCTTGTGCACAAACCGAACTTCCCTTTAGACTGCGTTCTCACACTTGTACCTGAGTGGCTCGCAGCCCGGTGCACGTTCAAGAACGATGGTGTTACGCCACTTAATCACTATGATATAGTCTATTATAGATCTTGTTCCTCTTGCTTACATGTGAATTTATGTTTTACTTCACGCTTGAAATAAGGATTGGTTATTCTCAAGTTGTTGAGTCCACAGAAGTAAATAAATAAACTGCCATTATTGTTGTTTTTTCTCCTTCTCCTCCTATGATTAAGAGTCCGGTTTAAACTTGTATTTACTTGTGGTACATATGCTAATATAATTGTTTTAATATTTTCATTCAAGTTTTTGTCATTAAAGCAGACTAAAACAGACTTTATAGCAGACTCTAAAGCAGAGATGTGGAATGTGTGTGTAAAATAGCATCAATAATTAAAAAAGTTTCATCTCTCATAAGAAAGACATTATCCCAAGAGGTCCAAGTTGGTTTATAAACTTCATTGCAAACAGTGCTCGTACATGTACATAGGGCAAACATCTAGCAAAGTAAGGGATAGGACACATGACCACATGAACAATATTAAACAGCCTTCCTACAGACATAACTCTGTTACGAAACAGTATCGAGACATCTCACCACATAGACTTTAATAATCCATCAATATTAGAACAGAAGAATAATTATTAATGAAGACTTGTGTCTTGAAACCTTAAATATTGACTTACAGACTATGAATACAAAAACCAAAGTGAGCACATTTATGATTTGCTACGATAATGTCTGCAGCACAGCAGTGAAAAACTCCTACCTTTCACCCCTCTCCTCCCGTCCCATTACACTATCCATATCGCCATACCTTGCGCAGACTTATGATCCAGTCCTGTTCCAATTTCAGCTCTGAACAGTTGGCAGTAAGCAAAGGTTAGAAAATAATGTGCTTATTTGTACCTATTGTTGTAGTTGCACTCACATTCATACATTATGTTTTAATAAATTATAAAAAATCATAATGATGTAACACGTCTAATGAGCTTTAACAATTATAGTACAATACACCAAGAACTGCTTTCAAATTTTATGAAATTGAGTTTTAAGATAATGTAATTTCTAATATGAAGACATCCAAACAATGTGTGTTTGTAATATGAATTTTCTCATTGCAAGATAAATGTATATTAGACTGTGTAGATCACTTCTTACTCCAATCAAGTAAATGTATTTCTAGTGAATTCTACAAGAAAATATGACTTGGAAACAGGGGTTCGTGTTAAGTTAAGATTTACAAATGTATAAAGTATGTATGTCTTTTAAAGAATATGTTGATAATGAATTGTGTAACCTTTGTGAGTACAACTTGTTTATATTGATGTGTGTATTTCAGAATTTTGAAGATGGAGTTATGTAATGTAACCATATGTAGTTTATATAAAAAGAAAAATAGGTCAATAAGGTGTTTATTCATAAAGTTTTGGACCTTAACTGTGGGTTAAAAGTTACTAACATTTGATAAATTAACACATAAACCAGTCAATATCTGAACTTATAAGTTGCTTCAAAGCCGGACAATAATTTTACATTAGCCAGAATTCTGTGACCGATACCTACTTTAGCAAGACAAAATCCAAAACCATTCTATTACTTCTGATCACTCTACATCTTTACTGACAATGTCCAGATACTTTGCAAATTAACTAGTACTCCTAATATGAGTCTTATTTCTGTCTTTCAGTACTAATATACACTCGCATCATGATGGCAAGCTTCCAGCATTTCTCATTATGTCAAGAATCATTGAAACACATAACTAAGAAAACCTTTCTATGAACAATAAAGACATTTAGGGTGGAGTTTAACATGTCACCGCCCAATGCTTCTTTTTATTAAAAAATCATACTGTCAAAGTAGGCTTACATGAAAGCATTACCTTTGTTTCTTCAATACAAACTCCTTCTTGCTCCTCCAGTGGCTGAACAAACACAGCAAGTGGAGGCTCCAACTCCTCCTGCAGAGAAAAACATAATTAAATCATACAGCAACAAAACAGGGGAGCTACAACAGCACTTGTATACTTTTAAGCATAATTAACATTGGTTAAGAAATATAAAAAAACACATTCCATCCTAATTTTAACATATAATTTTCTGTTACTTATAATGTAACCAAATGTAACATTCCTTCAGTTTATTCTGTAGTCTTCATTTCTTTCTGCGTAGAAACTAAACAATTTTAGTAAAAGCTTCAATGACTACTCAACCAGTCCCTGCCTTTCTCACTTCTACTGGGTTATATATCCTGACAATGCATTGTCTGTAGCAGCACTCTTCTAGCAAGCAAGTTATCACTTTCAATTTTTACCCTACATCCATATTGTGTCACATTCATTACGTATCTCACTACGGGGTTGAGGATAACCTAAGAAAAAAATTATTGATCACTGTTCCCCCAAAGTTCTATAATGAATTGTTCCCTCTTCAAGTAGAAAAGGATTAGCACGTCTCAATATGTTAAAAATTATTTTACTATCTAGTTCTAGTGTTGTGGGATATCCATCATTGGTGTTCAAACCAGTTAGTTTTTCTATTAGTAAGAATGAAAGGAGCGGGGTGTAAAGTAATTCAGTACTAACAGTGACTATCATAGGTGTGTAGATAAACTTCTAAAAAACTATAACAACAGTAAATTTCAAGATAACACCTCTAGCCTCTCACCAACAGAGACCTCTGATTGTTCTCTATTTAAAGCTATGAGAAGTCTAAAACAACTGTATGAAGCTGAATCAACAATTAGAAACAAACATGAAACAGGCAGAAATACTTTTAAGTTCTTGGACATCATTTTGTTGAAGTTTTTCAAAGCATCCCACCAACAAATGATGAAGATGAGGAAATTCAAGAATATCCTGATTCACCAGCACAATAGGCACTTCCTATAAAATTCTTCACTCCTAAAGTAATACTTAAAGTGATAAAGAATGACAATTTCTGCAAGAAAGCTCCAGGCTATGACCTTATGACTGGTCAGTTACTAAAAGAACTACCTCGCAAAGGAATTGCATTTATCACAGTGCTCTTCAATAGTATTATTCGCATTGGACATTATCCCATTCAGTGGAAAGTACCCAAAATTATAGTATTCCTAAAACCTGGTAAATCTTCCCATGAAGCTTTGTCTTACCGTCCTATTAGCTTTCTCCAATACTCTCTAAGGTATTTGAGAAACTACTTGATCACAAAACTACATCCTTACTTATCATGCAACAGCAACATCTTACCAAACCATCAATTTGGATTTCATCAGCAACACTCTACCACAAAACAAATAAACAGGATAACATCGCATATAGAAAGCAACTTTCAAAACACCATTGTTCTGCTGCCTTTCTTGATATCCTTCAGGCCTTCAATAAGGTATGGCACAAAGGCCTCCTGTGTAAACTTAAATGCTACCTATCCCAGTCATTTTTCAATATTTTCCAATCGTATCTTTCAAATTGTTACTTCCAAATACAATACCAAAACGAAATCTCAGACCTCCTTCCTATAAAATTCAGAGTGCCTCAAGGAAGTGTTCTTGAATCAGCACTAAATTTGTTATTTACAGCAGATGAAACGGCTATATTGGCTTCTGACGATTCTCAAGAAGCATCAGAAAAACTTCAAGATCACCGTTCTGCACATGAAGATTGGTACAGCAAGGGGGAATCAAGATAAACGAAAGTAAATCTGCACATATAACATTAGGAAAGAAACTTGCCTCCCTATTATGATCAACAGAAACAAAACAAAACAAAACAAAAAAAACAACAGTTACAGTTACAACTGAGAAAATTCTTTGGGTCCATTGAACACAAATTAAAATTATCGCTTGACAATAAATTAATAATTTATAAAACCATTTTAGTTACGAAATGATCTGGAGCACTATGGGCAAAACTAATTTGTCAATTCTATAAATATTTCAATCTAAACTTTTAAGAATATCATCTGCACCCTGATAATACTGCACTACACCAAGACCTCAATATAGCAACAGTTCAAGAAAAAAGATACAAGAAATTAGCTTAAAATATCACCAACATCTGGAAATGCATTCCATCATCTAGCTCTAAAACTATTTGACAATAGACAAGAAATTTCTCGACTGAATAGAATTTCCACTCTTAATCTCTGCCTCCATTTTAATAATTAACCTTTATCTCACTAAGTTTTTTTGTTTTTTTCCTCTAACATTTTCATGTTCTTAATCCATGTAACAATTTAATAATTAGGGAACGGATTTTCATGTAAATACATATATTTACTGGAATAAGATAGTTGCATTCAAAAATATTTTTTAGAGTTTACAATACATTATGAATGAAATAGAACTATTTGTTTTTACATATTTTAAAATATTTTAGCTTTACTACAAATTTCCTTACATTCTAATATATTTAAGTCAAAACTGAATATTTCAGATGTGAGGTCGCAATATACTATGTTACTGGAATCATCTTTCTTACAAACAATGCTATGAGCTTCTATTACCTCTGGTCCTTCATAAATTGTCAAACTTATTCTTCCCCTCACTTCTTGAAAATCATGTACTCGGGTCCAAAGATGATCGGATGAACATGTGAAGCAGAAGAAACATTAACCGTGTGCTTGCTCATGTTTCATAGACCCCGTGTTCAAAGTGATGAAAAACAAACAAATATTCTTAACTCATTGTCTGGTCACGTTGTTGGAGTAGGCCACAGGGGG